GCCCGAGAACACAGTTATTTCGTAGTGCATTTCTTTTAGACAATAAATGAAAATTAAAAAAATCCCACCTGCGTTTTCTCAATAATATTTTTACAGTGTCGTGTACTACTTTTGGGACAGTTTATATCAAAATTATAGAAAACTTCATCAGCTCAAACTCAAAATATGAACAATTTTATGTAAAGGGGGTCTGGAATTCTTTTGACAGCTTCAGACATACTAGTTTGTAACCTTTTTCAGCTGTACAAAATCACTACTTTACTTTAAAATTCATGACCAAAATATTTTTGCTGTGTAATTTCATCCCCCTACTTGCTATTTGAGGCATAAAACAAATAAATAAATTTGGAAGGAAAAACTTGCAACTAATACGCTGTTCACAGTAAGGACTATATTTGTAGACAACGAAAATCAAAGGACGATAACTGTGTTCTCGGACCAAACCAGGTTTAATCCACCATTTTCTACATAAGGAAATGCCTGTACCAAGTCAGGAATATGACAACTGTTTTCCATTCGTTTGATGTGTTTGAGCTTTTCATATTTGCTATTTGATAAGGGACTTTCCGTTTTGAATTTTCCTTGGAGTTCGGTATTTTTGTTATTTAATTTTTTGTCGTTATATCTGAGCAAATACTGAAATTAGACATCAGTGGAATAAATCAAGCGAGAAAGAAGAATGCTATATACACATTATGTTTTGTTTAAAAAGCAAGATAAAGGACGACGAAAACAAAGGACTGATTCAAACTTATACTCGGGTTTAAACACATTCAGCATCAATAAAAGATAAAAGACGAATACAGAAAAGAAAAAAGAAAAGTAAAATAAGTAAATGGAAAATTGAGTTAATCGAAGTAAAATACACGGAACTATACAATTTGTTACCTTTATAGCGTGTCTTATTTAATGCACCGATTGATAAAGAACTTTTTTCTATAAGATAAAACAAACCGCGTAATACAATGTACAAGTTAACTGTATCTAATTTCCCTCGATTTTCTTAGAGCTTTATGAATATTCATGACTGCTTTGTTTCCGGTCTTTGTCAAACTCATGCGAAATATAGCCATATGTTTGATTTTGTGTATTCAGCTCTTCGAATGGAAATCTAGAATATTTCGAGAATAATGATTGGTCTTTTTTCTTAATACCAAACGCCCAGATTGATATATATCAAAATAACATTAGTTTTTCTTCATTAATGTACATGATGGATGCATATACGTTTGTGCTATTATCAGGTATGTTTAAAACAGAAATAATTAACGCGTATATGTTTTTAATTGTCATGCGAGCCTTTTAAATTCAATTAAATTTTTTTTTCTAAATTTGCAGAAATTGCGTTTTAAAATCTGGATTTAATTTAAAAAACATTTCTTGATGATTTTTTTTTTTCGCAATCAGTTTTTATATATATTGAAAGCTTTTTTTACCTTGCTTTGAATATGAAAATTTGGGAGATATAATATGAATGTTTGAATAATATTATTTTGAGATGATCTGATATCTATAGACAGTGGCGGATCCAGGGGACTTAGAGGGCGTACGCCCCAGATAGAATGAGATACAACACATTTTATTTTTCGATTTGTATCCCGCAATGTTATATACTAGTATGCTTTGAGGCAAATTTTATGTACGGGCCCATGACATCGTCTTTAGGATAAATATCAAATGCTTTTTTTGTAATTACATAAATCATGCATGCATGTTTCATAAGAACCTTTAATTTTGATTGACCGATAACAAACGAGAGCCATTCCAAAATCATATCTTAATTTCCATTTAAATGCATCATTCACGATTGCACACGGTTTCCCTTACAACGTCACAACAAGGCAGGTATAGCAAAACAAACGAAAAGATATAACTCGTAATGTAATTGGTTTTTATATTAGAAATTTAAACACAAAATAAATTTGGTGCATCCGGCGCTTGTTTAATCTACCGTTATCAGCAACGCTCAAACTCCAAAGTCCCGACTATACGGTATTGATTTTTCTCATTGTTGAAGGCCGTACGGTTGCCTTTTATTGCTTACATCCACTTCATTTTAGCTTTGGTGGATAGTTGTCTCATTGGCAATCATACCACATCTCCTTATTTTTATAAGGATGTATAATTACTTTAATATTACTTTAGTATTACAGGAGCTTGGGACCAAACGGACTTAATACGAATGGTAAAATCAATCTGAGGTAAACCTGAGAAAGTTGGTCCCAAAATAATTTATAAATTCTAAATTTATCAGCAGAGAATTTTTATAAAAGTATTGAATAAATAATGTCGGAACCAAAGCACCTACTACTGAATTTGTGATACCCTCTGGAACAAACAGTCCACCAGGAGGAGTATCGAGCCAGGGATAGAAATCTGATAGAATTTTTTTTTTAAATTTAATTTGGTGCGTCCATAGCGCCTCTTTAGGATTTGTATTACGAGGAAAGGTCAACTAAAAAAAATTGAAAGTTAAGAATGTACAAATGTAGGAATACTTGAATTTATGCGGTGCTATATACCAAAAGTGACATAAAAAATATCCAAGAATTAACCAGCTGAACGTATTCTATTGCGACCTCCAACTACAAATATCGTCCCCCCTGTAAGTGCTTTAAAAAGCAGGTCACTGTGAAATATTGTGACAAACAAGGCTTGTATAAACAACGATACTATCTATTTCTTGATCGTTTAAATGTTTGGAATCTTAAATTGGAAACGTTTTGCAACTGTTTTTTTTTTTATTCGAGCGCCGCTGTACGAATCTTATTTAGTCGCTACGCGCGTTTGACGTACCTAAACAATAAGCCTGACATATTAAATAAGCATTTTTCGTTAAAGCTCGAGATGCCTCCTTTGCCAGTTTTGATTTTTTCAACTGTGTATTTTAAACTACTACATAATCTTAATACAGAGAAGTTTTCCTAATCAATCAAGGTTAGTAAATCAACTATACTGAGTACCAATAGAAACGCAACCCATACATGTTGTTTTCCATGTAATAAAAAAACATAAGCTCGATGGATCTTTAAAGGAAAATTAACCAACTGTTCTAAGATTTTCAAGGCTTTTAAATATATGCATACAGAATATTTCCAACAATAACAGAGCTTTCCGATTTTCAGATTTATACCGTTAACAAATTCCTTATTCTAAAAAAGATTACACTTTTGATGAACGCCTAAAGCAAGGGTAATCAAAGAGTACTGCAAATTGACAATTTTCTTTTGCAATTTGTTCAGTATTATGACGTTTGGATGGAAATAATTTGTGAAATTGATTTCCATCCCTATTAGACTAAGTTTTTCTACTGAAAAAAGTTGATACCGGACAGTTATACAACATGTAGGCACATGTTTGAGGAAAACATTGAAAGAAAAGTTCAGTATTTATTTTTTTTTTTTTTTTAAATTCCAAACATGAAGAACGATCACTACTACTAGATTATTTATATGAAAATAGGAAGATTTGATATGAATGCCAATGAAACAACTCTGTAAATTCAGAAATATTGCGTGCATTTATTATTGCAGTTTATGAAGACCGAAACCAAAATGCGATATTGGTCATTCCGATTTCAGGAAAATCTCACTACGGATATATGTATCAGTTCTTATTATTGCGATACGCACCCAGTTACATTATACGCATTATTATAAACCTTGCAATAATTTCTGAATTTACCGTATACATCAGAGACCAAATGACGTAGACGGAAGCAACAATAGGTCACCATTCGGTCTTCAACAAACCCATACCGAAAAGACAGCTATTAAAAGCCCTACTACGACAAAAGGTAAAACAATTCAATGTTATGCCTATTGTCGTTCCTTGTTTGATCCTCTAAATATGTAAAGAAGTAGAATCTATTTATTTCAATATACATGTACACTCTTTCAACAGTGTGTGCAAGCCTTTCCATTCGGTTGTCATGGGCCTTTTAAAACACAAATGTTTATGTTTAGATAAATATAAATCTTGACTGTCCACAAGCGTAAAGTATTAATAAAAACGAAAATGTCATACGATAGAGCAAAGTGTGTGTGTTTTGCTGAGAAATGGGAGGTTTAAATCATCACGTTTGTCATAGAAATTCAGTTTGAAGAAAAAAATGAAAACAACACCTTATCAATTTCATACGTCCGAAGCGCTTTTCTGGATTTACCTTCATCAGGAACGCTCAAAGCCGAAGATTTGAAAGCCAAGAATGTATAAGAACCGAAACAGTTGAGGAACTATATTACCAAAATGGACATAAAAAGCCAACCACATCTAAGGTCAACTTTGCCTGATGGAATTAAAACCTTTGTTTCTAATAATAGTTGTTCACCTGTGTCTACATCTAAATAAAGATCGATAGAAAGTATTTAACGATGCAACAAACAGATCACACCTTCCAGCAAGGTCAAGACGACCTATATCGTCCATTTGTTATGAAATTAACACTTTGAATTTCGTGCGTCCGAAGCGCTTGATTGTATTTACCGCCATCAGGAAAGCTCGATTTCGTAATTTGAAAGCCAGTTATGCGTATATACGCTGTCTTCCTAGTATTTATGTGACCAAAAAGGACATGAACAGAATAGCAAAATTCGTCGACGGTCAACCTTGCCTGAGGGAGATAATTTATAAATCTTTAAACGAGTTATTTCAAATACATATATGTTATAAAAGAGAGGCGAAAGATACCAAAGGAATATTCAAATTCATAAGTTGAAAATGTACTGAAAATGCCATGACAAAAACGAAAAATGATCAAAAGACGATCAACAGTATACAAAACTCAACAATGAAAACTAATATCTGAGCAACACGTACCCCACCAAAAACCGGAGTTTGGACAATATCAATCAATGACAATACGTGTATCAAACGTCAAAATAACAGGTAAAAAAATACAAAATGGAAGAAAACAATATAAATCAAAACCGTATCAAGAATAAACATTTTATCAAATATTTTCAAATCATATTTTTTTTACGCATATATTCTCAATTTAGGTTGTTTTGTTATTGCAAGCTGCACATTCGAATTGCTATGGCCATTGAGTAATGTTACATACACGACAGAAATCAAACTTAATTCCCCGAATCAAGATCGATCGGCTGGATGCAATATTAAATTCGCACAAGATATGCCACCTAATTTCCAAAATCTTGCAGTTTCTACTGATGATGATCACTGGATTGATATTAGAATTGAAGACAATATTCTTTATTCAAATAAGGACTATACGTTCTCAGGCTGGTTTAAGATATCAAATCCAAATGGTACTTTGTTTCACTACAAAAGTGATCATTATTATACAACAGGGGAATTTCTAGAACTGAAGGCAGTACTGGCGTCACCAAATATTATATTCAAGAGAAAATTAAAAACTGCCAACGAAACTGCATCTTTCGCCGTCACCTTGAGTCTTTATAACTGGCATTATTTTACATTTGGCATCGATAGAAGCAACGGCAAAATGAAAATATACCAGGATGAAAACCTTCTTGAAGAGTTTGACCACGGTTTTATGGACAACATAGATATAATGGCACCAGGTACATTGCGCATAGGCAGAAGTTTTGATGAGGTTGATTCAAACTTGAATGGAGATGTGACCTGTTTTGCATATCACATCGACAAATTTAATGTTCCGTTGTCAGACTCAGAAAACGAATGTAAGAACACTACCCCTGACGAATCATGTAAGTTGATTATAAATTTCGAAACTAATCACCATCTCGTTCTAATATTCATTTAAATACTATCAAGTATAATGCATTTTCAATAAATTTTTCAAAATATTCTGTTTTTATGAATGGGTTAAAATAATTTTTTGATAACCCCAAATTTTCATGGGATGTACATAACGTTAAGGCATTCCAGATCTCAGAAAAGTCATCACTTAGAGATATTCTAAATACTAAATAGCCGATAGTAAAACTGGCGAGAAAAAAATTGCCCCAATAATTTATAGCTTCAATCTACCAAAGCCTGTTATACAAAATAGCATCTTCATTCTCTGATAGAATTAGAGCATTTCAATTTGATTATAATTATTTATTCGAACATGTTTGATCAACATTTTGGTTTTAAAATCTTTTCATTTATAGGCCGTTTCTATATTGTATTTTGAAAAATCTTAAATATAAAATAATTCATTTTCAGATGTACCAATATGTCCGGACAGGAATGTGGGAACATACACATTGTCAAGTATTAATACAGGCTTGTCTAACCTCCGCACGATCAGTACGTCTACTGAGTGCTCCGTGTTCCAGTGTGGTATCGTTTGTCTAAATGCAGTGTCATGTAAATACATACAGTACGATATGACCACTGAAGGTTGTAACACATGTTATTTGCTGACGATTGGTTCCGGTAGCCTCAATTTTAATAACGGAGAGATTTTTGAATTGGGATATTGAAGCAAAAAAACATTTTTATCACAATAGTTACCGTGTATGATGTTTTACAGTGGGACACAAAATTGCATGACATAAGTATATTTGATTCAACCACAAAAATAATAATCATCAACATATGGCGCAACCACGAATTTAACTGCATAAAGCAGAAGCTGCTCCTAACGTTTATATGTATTTATACATCCATTACTTTCAAACGTTTAGGCTTGAACGTTCCTGATGAAGGTATATCTAGAATAGAACTTCGGACAGACGAAATTCATCAAGTGTTAAATTTTCTTTTTTGTATATACATAACCATTATCCTTGATTTAACGTTAGGTTTCTAATTTCACTTTTTTCAACCTATCAGACATAAATACTAATTCGCAATTGCATACAACTTTACTTCGGTGATTATGCAATAATTTTTTCACTTTAAAAAATCTGAAGGCAAAAGGTTAGCGACAAAATGTTCACATCAAAAACTATTTGATCATCAACAAAAAAATTATATAAATTCAAACAATACACACATACTTATTCGGCTTAATGCAAATTTCGTAAAATGGTTGGAAATTAGTTTCATACTTGTTCAACAAATTCCATGTTGATACTATAACTTTGACTATATTAGTCATGCTAGTACATTTCAGTGTTCATGTGCCCATTCATGTTAACATATGTCTACATTCTTATGTTATTTTTTTAAAATAAATATTGTCTTAACTGATTTTAATAGAAGTAAATAAACTCAGTTAAGATACCAGGATATAAATTGTATATGCCAGACGCGAGTTTGTTCTAATTCTTTAGTGAGTTGTGTTGTATGTCTGTGATGTGTGTTTATACAATTTTCACTGCTGGATCCCATTTATTGTCACATTAACCAATTATGTCTGTATGGGTTGCTTAACTAATTTTGTCAATATACCGGAACTATACACAACTGTCATACAAGAGGGATGTTTTAGCTAGCTACAAAACCAGTTTTAACCCACCGTTTTCTTTGAAAAATTACAGTACCAAGATCATGAATATGACAGTTGTTTTTCATTTGTTCCGTTGGTTGACATAGTCTAACGTTTGATTTTGTCAGATTTTATGGAACTCCCCCCGTATTGAGTTTACCCTGGAGCATGGAATTTCGTTAATATTATTCTTTAACTAACCTGGAATAGCATTTTCGGTTTCATAAACATTTTAGTCTTGTATTTTTCATTCATACAAACAAAGAACCAATAAGACTTAAAAGAGTTTAAAAATGTAATCAGCATTTCCATGGAAAGCAACTGGACTCCGCTTTTGCCTACTTGTTCTTTTACTCATATGAAAAAACTGCATACAGGAGAGGAGCTTCTAAGGAAGAATGAAACGATACTAGCATAATCCGTTAACTTTCGTTCCGCTATAGAGATGATGTTCTCTCACTAAATAAGTCAAAACTTAGTGACTATGTTGAACGCGTCTATCTCATCGAACTTCTATACTACTAAAGGAAGAGACCGATTTCATTGAGCCGCAACTCTTCCAAAACCATACAAAGTCGGAAATATTTGTGATATGACGTATAAATGTAGTGTTTTGTACTTCCTAAATTTGTCTTTGAAACAATTTTTTTTCCACAGAAAACGCCAATTTTTGAGAAAATATCCAAATTCAGAGACCATTATCAATCCGTGTCTTATACGCATTCGCGCATGCTCAGTCGACGTACTGCCCGCAAAATCTACAATTGATACTAAAATAACGAGACCATGAACTTCGTCATTATACAAGGATTATAACTACTAAATTCAATCTTTGTCACATGAACTTTCCGGTTGTAGTAAGAAAACTAGGACGGGTTCAAACAGAAAGATTTTGATAGCAGAGAAAACTGTGCACCTTATAATTAGCACGACTTTATCAGATGACAATACGAATACTAAAAATTCAGGCTTAAGATAAGGCGTAGGTACTTTAATTTAGTCACGAATCCGCGATGTCGCGGGTGTTTTCTAGTTTATTAAAAATTAACAAAAAGATAATGAAGGATATTACAGATACAGTTGAATATGTCTCATATCTTGGCTTACATCTAGAAATGACAATGAGGGTCGGTTAAAAACAAAACCATTACGACATAATGGACTATTGTAGCTTCCTACAGTTGAACTTTCAATTTCTAAGTAGCTTCATTCAAGCAGCGCCATATGTTTTTTTTTGTACCTCGTACTTTATTTGGCCTTTTAATTTTTTTGATTTGAGTGTCACTGATGAGTTATTTGTACGCTTTGTCTGGCGTGCACAATTATAAGCCTGGTATTTTTGATAATTGTTTTCCCACTGTATATGCTATTCCAAAGCGTATGTTTTCTATCTCGATTTCCTTGGTAGATGGTTGCTGCTTACAAGGAAGTTATTGAACCAAGGGTTCCAAATGGTAAAGTTGAAATCATCTCTTGAAAAAAACGTTTGTACGACATCACGTTATTTGACCGTTATGCAATACATGTTTCAGGGATGACGATGGATATGTTCCAATTGTCGTTACACCAGTTTTATCCCCTTTTCATCTAATGTGACATTCCCGAATAAGACTTATCACCAAATTTGCATTTACATGAACAGAACAGTGAATGCCACATGTGGAGTAGGATTTGCTTATCCTTCGGGAGGATCTTGCACCAAAAAACCACCATAACTAAACAAATATGTAAATCAAGATTAAAACATGAAATCGGAGTTATTGCCCCGATAGCGTGCTTTACATCAAATGAATTAATAAAAAACATGATTATAAAAGGACGTGTAATACCACTTAACTATATTTCATTTCCGCTAATGTTCTTTGCAACTTTATGAATATTCATGACTGGCGGGTTTCTTTTCTGCGTGAATCGCCTGAAAATATATAGTTTTGAATTATTCACATAATTTTAAAGAATTTTGTTGATCAAATAAACAAGAGTGCACACGCTGAAATGTCTCGCCTTATTTACTAACCATTAATATTATGTTGATAGTCTTAATTAGAAAGCTTTACTACAACTATAACATAAACTTAACATGATCCAAGAAAATGATGTAAAGGTCATATAAACCAAACGAGAAATACATGTACACCTTACAATCATTCAAAACACTAAATATAGTTGACCTATTGCTTATAATTTCTAAGAAACAGACTTAACCAAGAAAACTAAACATTGACCAATGAGGTCAAGGTCAGATGAACCATGTCAGGCAGACATGTACGGCTTACAATCCTTCCATACAACAAATATAGTTGACCTATTGCTTACAGTTTAAGAAAAACAGACCAAAATACATAAACTTAACACTGAGCAATGAGCCGTGAAAATGAGGTCAAGGTCAAATAAAACCTGCTAGACTGACATGTACATCATAAAATATTTCCATACACCAAATATAGTTGACCTATTGCATATAGTATTAGAAAAAAAGCCCAAAACTCAAAAACTTAACTTTGACCACTGAACCATGAAAATGAGGTCAAGGTCAGTTGACACCTGCCAGTTGGACATGTACACCTTACAATCATTCCATACACCAAATATGAAGCATCCAGGTCTTCCACCTACTAAAATATAAAGCTTTTAAGAAGTTAGCCGCCGCCGCCGCCGCCGCCGCCGCCACCGGATCAGTATCCCTATGCCGAGCTTTCTGCGACAAAAGTCGCAGGCTCGACAAAAACTGTCTAATATTTTTTTTAAATAATTGAATTAGTCTTGACCTATTAGTAAAAAATTCAGATTTATTTTAATAAAAACAATCGTATTTTTTTTCCTTGGGCACAGAACGGATGTATATATATATATTACATAATATTATTTACACACATGTTTATGAACAAAAAATTAATATATATTGTCATGCCCGTCTTATAATGTTTTGTCAATCTACTTCTACACAAATTTCAGAAATCGTATTCCAAAATTACAGATTCAAAATGAAGTAATTGTTTTAGATGTGTATTGTGAACGAACATATTCTAATTGGTTTTTTTTTGTAATCCATTTATTCATTTACCCTGGATATAGCGAAAATTTCAGTTGTGGAGATACAACATTTATTTCTTGAAACCAATATTTTGAGAAGATATCTATATATAGAAGGAGATTCAGTGTTGACCGGCTAGTGATTCAGTAGTTCCACAACCTATACCACCCGGCCACCGATGCCGCGGGCACTCGAATTAAATTTGCGATCAAATAAAGAGATCGAGTACATCTTTTAAAACCTTATCTAAATTTACATTTTTGGTTTCGAAATGATTATCTTATCGAATGACAACGTTTAAGTCAAAATCTAGTCAGAAGTTGTTTCTTTTCAAACACTATTGTTTGCTTGTTATTTTAGAATTTTGTTTTGATGGCATACACCTTTTGATGTCGGTTAGTTATTTTTTATATGGTGCCTAACTGACGTACAGCCAGCAACTCCTTTTATTGATTTTTTAAATTATCATTATTTGATTGAAATAACATTAACGGTACCAACTTTATTGCATCAGATGCGTATGTCGACAATTGATGTCTCTTCAATGATACCCCAGGCCAAAATAACAAATTCCTCATGAAATTACGAACTAAAAGCATCTGTATATGTGCTATCTAGCGTATGTTCTTTCCAAATATTTGCATATGGGTGTCCAGGATTCGAAATAACAGTATTGATAGGTCTTTGATTATCATTTGTCTTGATTTACACGTCTGCTATTGTAAGTACTAGGCTGAATATCTCTATTGTATCATAAGTGTATCTGAGTCAATCGAAATGTCATTATACATGTTATGTAATATTTGCTGTATGCATTGTACATCAAATACAACTAAAAGAAAATAATGATTTTAAAGAACAAAGGAATTCCTCGAATACGTCACTAGCACTTAATATTTCGAAGTGACTACCTTTTAAATCAGACAATATCTACACGAAAAGCCAGATTTTTCAGTGATTTTATGTCAAAATTAAACCATCTAACTAATTGAAGTTTCATATAAATGAAATAGTAGTTCGATGTATGCTTACAGACAAGAAGATTAGGTATTGTATGGGATATACAGAAATAGCACACTATTTAGAAAAATAAAGACTATAGTCTGTATATATCACTTATCTGAATTATAGATTCCTAAACTTACAAGAGTTATTCTTTAGCTTAGGCTCTATTTATGAGGGTCTGGATAGGGTCCTTCATTTCTGTATTCTTTAAATTGTTTAGGGCATTTTTCTCTATTCTTTATACTTTTTGTCCATTATTCTCTATTCTTTATATTTTAGCACCTCATTATTCTCTCTTCTTTATTTTTTTGGTCCATTTTTCTCTATTCTTTATATTTTTTGTTCATTATTCTCCATTCTGTAAACCCCCATCCACACCCGAATTTAAACTACATGTATTCATTCATCTCAATAAGACTTTAGAACTTCCCTTACAGAAATTTTCTGATTATTTTTTATCTGTTTTATATTTTTTGTTAATTTAGAGGCACCAGTATACGTAGTTTATCAATGCTCAAATATCATAAATCATTAATTTACATGACGGGTGCCACATGTGGAGCAGGATCTGCTTACCATTCCGGAGCACCTGATATCACCCCTGGTTATTTGGCGGGGCTCGTGTTGCTCAGTCTTTAGTTTTCTATGTTGTGTTTTGTGTATCGTTTTTTGTCTTTTTGTCTTTTTATCTGTTTTTGCCATGGCGTTGTCAGTTTATTTTCG